TCTTAAGTTGGCATTAATATGCTTCATATCATATCTTATGTGATATTATGCCAACAGATTCTGCTAGAGCTGCTCTTAATCTTAACGGGACACTTTTGGGTTTCTCCCCCGTGAAAGTTTTGCCTTCGAGTGTCTGTGAACCCGTCTTTTCTTCCCAGGGTAAAAAGAAATCATTTAAAGCTATTAAATGTTTTCTTTCCTTTCCTTTTTTTTCTATCATTTTTCAGCTCTTAATCCCTCGACAAAGTAACATTTTTGCACGTGCCTTGCTTTTCACATGCTTATATATGTGGACTGATTTAATTCTGTATCTTTAACTCCAAAATTTGGGATATTACAGTCAAAGGATGAACGCGAAATGTGCGCCAGGATAGTTTAGTGCACAAACATTGATAAGAAGGTATAAATAGAATCTTCTTTCTTTCTTTCATTCATTCATTCATTCATTCTTTTTCTTTTTTTTTTTTTTTCGGATGACACGTGTAGCTACTTGCACCTAAGGGTTTAGTATTCATTCACTCATTCTTTTTCTTTCCTTTTTTTTTTTCGGGATGACACGTGTAGCTACTTGCACCCAAGGGTTTAGTATTCATTACTGAGATTTAGCCTAATATCCAAGGTTCTGAGAATTTTGTATAATTTTTTATAGTTCGGCTCGTTAAATTGGCTCGAGCTTGAGGCCTTAATGAGCCGAGCTGGAACTCGTTTATTTAACGAGTCGAACTTTGTTCGGCTCGTTAAGGGCTCGAGCACCCTAATCTCAACTTCGACTCTGTTCGTTTACAGGCCTACTTCATGTGTGCATTTTTGTTTAAAAGTGTGATTCATTGATCCTTAAGCTGCTTTAAACCCGTGCGACTCAAAAGTATTCTCGTAAAAAGGCACTTGTGGATAAAAGTCAAAACAATGAATTCCTTGGCATTTTAAAGCGACGGATGTTTGACAGATGTTTTTTTCCTTCCTGTTTAAACCTTCACACGGTTTTGGTTTATAAAATGATCTCAATAGATAGTGTATGCTTTTTGGTTAACAAAAAATGAAAATCGAGTTAATTGATATTGTCCTTAGGGATTTTATTTCTTGTATTCGTAATGTTTGTCTTTTCATTTCTTTGTGAAGAATAATTGTGGCATCGACTATTTTATGCAGCGATACATGGACTCTGAGATTCGGGCAATCATGGCGAGTACATGCCACTGGACAATCTAGGGGAGATTCCCACTCCACGACTTAAGGGCATGTTTAGACATGACTATAAATTGTGAGAACGGTCGAGGAAGATAGAAAATTGAAATAGTCACTTCATCACCTACAATTAATTCGGTTTATGGGGTGTGTGCTACCTTATGTTCATGTATAGAGTCCATGTTACAATTAATAATATTTGTTCACTTCACGTTCAAATTGACGACAAAATTCTTGACCTCGTCCTTCACGTGGTAAACGTAGTGATTGATATTTGAAGCTTTCATTTGGTCCGCTTCGGTTTTATAATCTATCAATTCGCACTTTACCAACGTCCATCTAAAAAATAATTAAATAAAAGAAAATTTTAGTACAAATATTTTCTTCAACTTTTTTTTTACCTTCAGAGGTGTTTGGACAAAAATATATGAATACAAGACACATATTCTTGTTCAATAAACATGTTTTTTGAGCAAGAAACGGGTTTCTTGAGCAAGAAACGAGTTTCTTGTTCAAAAGAAATAGGTTTCTTGAGCAACAAACGAGTTTCTTGGAAAGAAACATGTTTCTTGCTCACGAAACGGGTTTCTTGAGCAAGAAACGAGTTTCTTGTTTAAAAGAAATAGGTTTCTTGAGCAATAGACTAGTTTCTTGGAAAGAAACATGTTTCTTGCTCAAGAAACGGGTTTCTTGAGCAAGAAACGGATTTCTTTTTTAAAAGAAATAGGTTTTTTGAGCAACAAACTAGTTTCTTGGAAAGAAACATGTTTCTTGCTCAAAAAACGGGTTTCTTGGCAAGAAACAAGTTTCTTGAGCAAGAAACTGGTTTCTTGACAAGAAACCCGTTTTTGCTCAAGAAACCAGTTTCTTGCTCAAGAAACCTGTTTCTTGTTAAGAAACCCGTTTCTTGAGCAAGAAACATGCTTCTTGACCAACAAATGTTCAAGAAATTGTTCATTCCTCAACAAACGATTAATTCAGCTCCCAAACTCCAAAAAAAATGACTCAAGTAACAATACAACGAAAGTTATGAACTCCAAAACACAACTCCTTTTTTGAAGCACAAAGACTCCATTTTTTTAACTGCATAGAAATATGAGTTGAACAAAATAAAATGGTACGAGACAAATCAATAATTCTGAGAACAAAAATAATAAATGTGTTCAATAATCCAGTACTACTCCCAAATTTTAGCCCAGCCTCAAAAGAACCCAATTTTCCTTTGTTCCTAGCCAGTCGATACCAGATCTATCCTTGGCAAAACTCGTAATTGAATCTCTTTCTATCGATTTGACAGAACACTTACCGATTTCTTGAGATTTTGGGCAATATCTTGGTGCACCAAAACATTGTTTAGGGCAATCTCTAGACAATCCTCAAAGCTATCAAAGCCATCACTTATCAATTAAAACTCTCTTAGTCTCGAGTTAAAATACATATTAATATTAATTTTGAAGTAAAAAATGAGAACAAAAAAGTGCATTTTATAAAATATTATGCTCCATTTTTTACTTAATTACTTATTTCTCACTAAGTGTCCAATTTTATGAAAGTTGCATTATTTGGGCCGAGCTTTTGCTTTGATTTGCATTGCTTTTTTGGGAA